CCTCCCACCGAGCGGCGCCGAGGAGGCCCGAGGGCGGCTGCCGGAAACGGCCGAAGCCTCTCGGACCTGCGGCCGAGCGCCTCCGACAGCGCCCGAGGGCCCGGCCCGGCCCCGCCCCGCCCCGCCCGCGGCCCCTGGGCGTCAGGGGGGCTGTTCTCTCCGGCAGCCGTGCTGCTCTGGCTCCATGAAGCGTCTCAGCCCCACGAGGTGCCTCCAAGCAGCGGCTCCTGTATCCAGTGGAGCCTCCGCCTGCCGGCCGCGGGGAGCAGCGCACAGCCCGCCCCGCCCACAGGTGGCATTGCCCAGTGGCACCAGAGCCTCCGCAGGAGGTCCGAGCACCCGCTTCTCCGCCCCAGCGTCTGGCCGCAGCCACAATCCCGCCCTAATCCGACGCGGCCAGAGCCTCACCTCGGGGCCATCCGGTGTCTGCCTCCGCTGGCCTGGCACTGTCCTCTCCGCTCTTCCCGGACCCGCAGGAAGGGAAGGTTAGACACCGCGATCCTTGTTCTGAAGTTCAGTCTTCACAGCTGGTTTCTAGAGCAGAGTCTGGCCTGTCCCTCCTTCGAGGGCGCTGCTGACTCTGTCTCTCGGTGAGGAGGAGTGCACTTCCACTTGGCCCCTGATGCCCCTGTGCTTCCACCACACTTATTAACTCTTCAAACCATGGGTGACTGGTGCTTCCTGAGACTGGCAGGGCACAGTTTGTGGGTGACCAGTGACGACCACTCACAGAAGCCAGCAGCAGTTTGGGAGGGGGGAGTGGTGACTGCCCACAGAAACCAGCAGTGGCCAATTTCAGGGGGGCACATGTACCCCCTGCCATGCCCACCCTACCAGTCTCCTGTGCTTCAAACCTGCTCCTATCACTTCAGAGGAGCTCCCTGTACACAGCCACAAGGCTCTCCTTAGCCTCCCTCAAAACTTTGCTGCACTGGGGTGTTCAAATGACAGCGGTTAGGCTGCTCGTGTGCTTGACAGCTGGCTCTTACGCTGATAGGTACCATCTCCTTGTCCCCTACTACTCACCAGCTGTCTGCCTGTGTCTGCTGATTGCCTCCTATCTTACATTGTGAGGTCTTGAACCAAGAGGACAATCGTTTTGTTCTGTGTGTGTACAGCACCTGGTGTGATGCGGTTCTGGTCCGTGACCAGGACTCTGAGGTTTTTTGGTAACACAGATCATAGATGTGATTTCTATTACTATAGTGAATACCTTCAATAAAGGGTCCAGACGTGCACTGCAGGCTATCCTCCTGCAGAATGGGCCCTGGACCAGACTGACAAGTTGCATGCAGAATGCAGACAGGGTCACTCACACAGCTGTTCCCTTCCAGATTGACACCATCACTGTCCATATCCACTCAACCTTCTCAATGAAAACAGAACTATTTACTGCTAAAAATGTTTACCCTTGGAAACAGCTGGCAGCACTCTGTGGTGATCAGCAGTCTGCCTCCTGGATATGAAAAAAAGCACTTCTGTGGCCACAAAATGCTGCTTATAGTCCACTGAAGTTACTTAATCCCGTAGGTGACTTGATTCACTTCTTGACCTCAGCCAGCAGCCTTCCAGCCTCCTCTCTCTTAATGTGTGGTAAGTCAAGATGCCACGGGTTAGTGGATCAGGAGCCTTCATATTCATGACTGTGGCCAGCAGATGTTGATCCTTTCAGAATATCTTTCCTGTGACCTGAATTTATCCAAATGCAACTGAGAAGATGAATTCTGCAGACTCTGCTGGTCTGAGCACAGGACTCGGAGCTGAAAATTTATCAGTTCTGCTGGGGCTCATTTCCTGGGAAAAATCCCTTACATTCTCTGTAGTCTCTCCATAGGGATCATTAGAATTACTTACCTTGCAGGGGTGTGTGGAAAGTATTTTCAGGAGCTGATCAAAAAATGTTGTGATTTAAATGAGAAGAACAGGATATTATCATAGGCATGTTAGTAAAAAAAAAAAAAAAAAAAAAAAAAAAAAAAAAAAAAAAAAAAGGGGGGGGG